ATTAATGACCAGGAAAAAAAATTTCTTAAAAATAGTAAGGGACAAGGAGAAATCAATCCAGCAGCTGCTAGATGATGTAAAGAAGAATAATATAAGACTGATCAGAGTTAATGAAGAAACAGGAAAGAGTGCAGATGACACAGAAGTAATGGCAGAAAACTTCTCAAATAGGAAAAAAGGACTTGACATACAGATAAGTGAGGCTCATCAGACACCATGATTTAAAAAAAAAAAAAAAAAAAAAAAAACTACACATTTGGGCTGAGGATTTAGCTCAGTGGTGCCACCTCCTGCCTTGCAAGGGGAAGGACTAGATTTTGAGCCCGGTAAAACAAAAACAACTACACATAGGCATATACTAGTTAAGATTCCAGAAACCCAAGAGCTTAATATTACAACAGAAACACTAAACAGGCTGGAAGAAAAGTTATGTAGAACTCCTACATAGAATGTAGAAAACATTGACATAGGAAAAGATTTTATGAACAAAACCTGTTGCCCATGAATTAGCACAATCAACAAGTAGAATGTCTTCTTATTAAAAAGCTTCTGCACAGCAAGAGAGATAACGACCAATGATGTGAAGAAACAACCCACAATGTGGGAAAAACTTTTCACCAGATGCACCTCAGAGAAAGGCCTACTATCTAGAATATATGAAGAACTTAAAAAAATCAGACCTCTCAAATTTAAAGACCCAATCCAAAAAGGGGCATCTGAAATGAACAGATATTGCTCAAAGAAATAGAAATAACAAATAAACATACGAATAACTAGTCGACATCCCTGGTCATTTGGGAGATGCAAATGAAAACAACATTGAGATTCCACCTCACCCCAGAAAGCATGGCTGTTACCATGAAATCAACCAATAACAAATGCTGCCGGTGCTGTGGAGAAAGAGGAACCCTGCTCCATTGCTGGTGGGAGAGCAGACTGATGCAACCATGGTGGAAATCAGTATGGAAATACTTCAAAGAACTAGGATTGGAGGTCCCATGTGACCCAGCTATCCCCCTGCTGGGTAGCTCCCCCAAAGAATGAAAAGAATCATACTACCGTGATATATATGCAGCAATGGTCATAGCAGCACAATTTACGATAGTTAAAAGTTGGAAACTGCCCGTCAACAGGAGACTAGATAAAGAAAATGTGTTTTTTAAAAAATAAAATGCAGTACTATTCATTATAAAGAATGAAAAACAAGAGACATTTATAGCTAAATGGATGCACACTGAGGCAATACTCTTAAGTGAAATTAATAGGACCCATATGTGTAAATACCAGTTTCTCTAGTGTGAGAAACTGAAAGTGTAAATAAGGACTAAAAGGTATAATAGATAATGTGAAATATGAAGAAGAGAAGCAAAGGGAAAAGAAAGATGGGAATGGAATTAATATGAGAAAAAAATGGAGACAAAGATGGTTGTAAGGGTTGAAGGGAAGACAGGAGAATGGGCAGAAAATAAGAACCAAGATGTGTTACGCAAAGGTGCAAATTTCTAATGATGAAGGTCATTATACTGTATCCTTGAATGTACCAATAAAATTAATTTTAAGAATAAAATAAAATAGTTCTATTTTTAAAAGTCCTAAGTATATAATAATACGGCAATATTAAAAAATATGATAATGCAACTTTCTGAGTCTCTCAAAAGACAAATTATTTGGTGTTATCAGCATAGGCAACTAAATTAGATAAAAATTAATATACAGAGAAGGACTAGGGCCTCAAGAAGACAACACAAAAAATAGAGACATCAGAATTGTGCCTGGAGACAATTTAAAGAGAACCAGACCTCAAGATGGAAATGCAACAGCCGGGCCTGAACGATGAACAGCAACTTGAGATTATGCTGCAGTTAGCACCACCGTTGTTCTTGCGATGTACCCTTGGGATGTACCCTTGGTAGGTGACTCATCTTCCTATTGGATCAACATTAGCTAATCGGCTATACCTGTAATCATACAGGTTGATTGTAGTCTGCCCCACGTCATGCTTCCATTGTGATTTTGCTGTATATATTACCCTGACAAAGGGCCTCAGTGACCACCCATTCAGGAGTCCTCCTGAAAAGAAGGAGCTATTCTTGTTCCCCTTGTTTCCAATGAAACTCTAACTTCCTCCTTTGTTTTGCAACTTCATTCCTCAATGTTGTGAGACCACAAACACATTTGACATCTAGTAGGAGTGGAGTTCTATTTTTTCTGTATCACTATGAACTCAGTGTTCTTGAACTCCCCAAACTCACATTGAAACTCTAATCCCCAATGTGGTTGTATTTGAAGGCAGGGGTACAAAGGGAATAATGAAAGTTAAAAGACAGTAACTAAAGTTAACTAAAGGTTAGGCCATCACCTGATAAAATTAGTGCTTATTTATTTATCCATTGCTTTTGTGGTACTAGAGACTAAACCCAGGACCTTCACACTGGGAGCTACACTCCCTGCATTTTAAAATTTATTTATTTTGAAATAGTATCTCACTAAGTTGCCCACGCTGGGTTTGAACTTGTGTCTGTGTCTTCTGTCTCTGTCTCCCGGAGTGCTGGAATTCCAGGCATATGCCATCATACCCAGCTGGATCAACGGCCTTTTTTTTTTTTTTGGTACCAAGGATCAGACTCAAGGCCTTGTGCTTGCAAGGTAGGCACGGTGCCACTGTGCTAAATCCCCAGCCTTGGGTCAATTTCTTTTTAAGAAAAGACACAGAAGGCTCATTCTTGCTCTTTCAGTGAGTACACAAAGGTTAAGTCACATGCACACAGAGCTGCAAGCTAAGAAAATAAGCCTCAGAATGAAATCTACCCAGCCAGTATCTTGATCTTGTACTTTCCCGCCTCCAAAACTATAGAAAATAAGTTTCTGTTGTTTATGCCACCAGCCTGTGACATCTTGTTATGCCAACCTATGCTAAGACATTTGATAATATTTAAAGATGTTACTCTGACAGACATATGTGTCTGACAAACACCACTGTGTTACAATAACCAATAACATATTATAGCTGTCACACTCCCACTGCGCAGGGTGTGTTGTTGGTACGCTGAAGTTACAGACAGGCATGTCCCCACGAAGCAGAGAATGCTGTGGAGGGAAGCCTTGAGACTCCCACAACAGAGAAAGTGTCATGTTAAATTTGGGCCCCTCTTCTCTGGAGCTACACACACATATTTTTTCATTGAAGTGCTTAGCTTCTAAAACCCAGCACTGCCTGTTTCACTTTGCCTTGATCCTGAAAGCTGGAGATTTACCACGAACAATGACCCCACCAACAGAGAGAGGTGAGTGTGAAAAACAGCTCTCTGCCTCTGAACACTGCTAGGAAGTAACTCCTGCGCAGCCTGAGACTGACCAACTGATGGTTATTGGTTTAAGCCACTAGGTTTTGGTACAGTTTGTTACACAACAATAGACAACCAAAACAGAAATATGTGTTCTGTGTAAACAAGTCCAAAACAAAAATATGATGATACTCAAAATATAAAGAAGAAAATCAAAATGATCCATAATGCCCAACCCAGGATACAGGTTCTGTTAACATTTTATTGCATTTTTCCTAGGTGTACATTTTCCCACAAGAACACGATGAAACCACATACCCACACTATAGCCTGCTTTTTCTCCATTTGGCAGGTTATTGTGAACATTTTCCAATATCCTTATAATTTTTAAATATTCATAATTTAGGGGCTATGTTGCTCTCTCCTATGGATGTATTCAAACTGTCTTAAAGCTCAAAATAGCATCTTTACACTGAAATCTTTGTTGCATCTGAGATTACGTCCTCAGACTCTTAGAAGCAGAATTAGCAAACAAAATACCTAAATTGTTCATAGTTCTAGAGGCACATTTTCAGGCTACTTTCCCGGAAACTTGTGACAATGTGCCTTCTATGAATGAGAGGAATTATCTCTTTACACCCCTAGGAGCAATAACCAGACTTAAAATGAGTTGGGTTTTTATCTCTATTAGTATGAAAGACCAAAAGAAGGTATTTTTGCTTTCTTGTGCATTTCTTTTTATATTATATTTTCATAGTTATATTGTATTATATTAATATTATTTATATTATTAAGGCTTGACTTTTAGTAAGCAATGCTATTGCATTGTCTGAACTCTCATCCTTTCCTGTTTCCTCTTGTAAGTTTTAGTTCTCATTTATTAATTTGTATCAGTTTTTAAAAACATATACATGTATAATAAGGTATTAAATTTCTTCTACAGTATGAAAGTGTTACTTTTCAATTTGTTATTTTATTTTGATTTTGTTTAATCAATTACAGTAAAAACACCTGCTACATTGTAAGCAGGTATAATCAAACTATCAACATTTTTATGAGAAATTAAATTTGTTCACTTGCCCTACATAAAATGAGTTTCCTGCTTTGTTGTGCTTCCTACACAATGCTTTGGCAACTTCCCTTCCCTACCCAAAACAACAAAAAATTCACACATTCACCAACACTGGGAGTTCTAAATTTAAACACCGATTACTATTTTAAACAAGCTGTGAAGTTAAACACTTCACTGAGGAAACTCTGTTTTGCAAAGAGGGCTTGGATTATCCAGATTTGAGGCAGAAAAATCTGTCGCCAAACACCCAAGGGCCACGCTGAGTTTCTTAGTACAAGTGAGGCAGCCAGCTCAGGCTCTGCATGCTGACTGGAGAAAAACTTCACATGAAGTCACTTATCTCCATGATCATCAAGGTCAAGTGCCACCCACACACAGCTCAGCAATCAAAGCCTCCACCTCCCTGAAACCAATGGCTCTCAACTAGGAGCAATTCTGTCCAACACTCAACACTGAACAGTGAAGAGGCCTGTTAGAGGCATCCAGTGGGTAGAAGGTGGGGATGTTGCTAAGCACCTTGAAATGTACAGCACAGCCCCTCCCTCTCCACAATAAAGAATCATCTAGCCCTCCATATCAACAATGCCAAGATGGAGAAACTCTATTGTACACCAACACACAGGCATAAAATAACAATCTCTTACCTCTCCTGTATAATTATATTTGCCTTTTAGAATCTTCCTGTAAAGCTCTGTATGGATTTCATCATCAAAAGGCAGAGATCCACTAAGTAAAACATAGGTGATTACACCCAGTGCCCACATGTCCACAGTACTTGTATAAGGTTTCCTTAGCAAAATTTCAGGGGCTATGTACTCTGGGGTTCCAGAGAGTGTCCTTATCATCCAGTCGCCATTTGTGTTCCCGGAGTGCGCAAACCTAAAATCTGTGATTAACATTTTGGACTCTGCACCTGGATGATAGTATAAGAGATTTTCAGGCTTTAGGTCTCTGTGTGTTATTCGCAAAGCGTGCAAATATCTAATCCCATCAGCAACCATGCAGAGAATTCTGACAGCATCTCGCTCTGTAAAGGATCCCTGGGCAATGAGTCTCTCTAGGAGCCCCCCTCAGGTCGCCAGTTCCATCACCAGGTAAACTCGGTCTTGGGCCTCAAAGATCTCCACGAGCTGCACAACGTAAGGACGGTTAACCCTTCTGAGGACACGGAGCTCAGCCTCACACGCTTCTCGGCCTTCTCTCAATCTGGTTTCTGTCACTTTTATTGCAAAAGGTTTCCTGGTGGTCTTCTGCTCCACCCTGACCACCTTGCTGAAACTTCCTGTCCCAATGAGAGCCTTGATGTCATATCTGTTGGGAAGAAAAAATGAAGCTGTTATCCTCTGACGTGACGATTCTCAACATTATTGAAGTCCGTGCTTTGTATTGCCTTGTACATTCTCATATTCCACCACCAGTTTTCTTGCTTTTTATTGCTCGTGTTTAGTTTATTTATTATTTATTTATTTGTTCTGGGGGACCCAACCTGGGACCTTGTGCTTGCAAGGCAGGCAGCGCAACCACTGAGCTCAATCCCCAGCCCTAGCTTGTGCTCAGTTTTGAAGGCACACCAAATCCTCTTTGGAAATGCAAGCAAATGATGTAAAGGTAATTAGTTTGTAGAAGGACCAACTAATTATTATTATTATTAATAACAGCTAACACATATTATATAATTCTTATGTTCTAGGAATGTTAGTTTTTTTGAAAATCTTATCCTTACTAAAATCCTGATAAATGACATAATATTCCCATTTTTCAGATAAGCAATTAAAGCTAAAAATATAAGTAAAAGGGGTCTAAGAAGAGGATGGGAGAAAAAGAATCGAGAAATGCCATGTACAGATACAAATTTCCTATGATGAACGTAATCATTATGTATAGCTAAAGTATACCTATAAATGTTTTGCTTCAAAAAAGTATAAGTAAGCAATTCCCCAAGCTCCCACAGATTATAACTGGAATCAACAGAATTTAAGTCCAATCATTTCAAATGTATTTCATGAAACTTTCCTTCAAGAATTTCAGGACTTCTCTCTACTCTTTTCTTCCTCCGACACTTGTCTTTAGCATTCTTCAACAGTATTAACCAAAGCATGCAGAGAGATTAAAAATAAAGCTTAACCTTCATTCTAACTTCGGAAAAGAGGAAGGATAACATTCGGGAGTACAAATAAGATGTTCCTTTGCGTTTCCTGTTGTGAGCTGAGTCCCAGGAACACTTCATCGACGGTAGCTCTTGCCACAGAAGGACAACCTGGCTGCGTTGTGGCCACAACAGACTTTAGAAATCTGGCAGGGACAGTGTCAGAGGACCCACGGCCAGCGGTACCCCACCGCACCCTTCCCACCGGCTTGTGTTTGCAACCCGTAAACTGTGAAATAATTCTAACATCAATAACGGCTCAATGTACCACCTTACAGAAAAGGCCAGGAAATCAGCTCAGATTTCAAAGGCTGGTGAATCTTAATTTGAATTTTCTGTGAAAACTTCTTAAAAGTTAAGATTCCTGTCAAGTTTAGCCCTCTATCTTTATGGAAATGTTGAGAAAGTGCTAAACTTAAAACCCTTATTTTACAGCTGGAAACAATATTGAAGGGTGATTTAATCCAAAATTTCATTGTATGGATGGAAAATTTAAAAAACAGATTAGTCAATATGTTGTTTAAATCATAGTCAGGATTAGAAACCAGATTTCCTTATTTGTACTATAGTTTACTGCTCTTTGCAGTTTATGAAAATCTCTTCCAAGGAAGAATGCTAACCAGGAAGAAGGCGATTCTATAAATCACACACTCAGTAACAAAGTTTCAAATGCAAATATCACTGTGTTTTAAACAGCCTTTTTTTTTTTTTTAGTTTATTCCTCCTATAATTTTAATTTTTGGCTATATATTCTGCCTTATATTCTTCTACTTACTGAATAAAAATGACATTTGGCTGTACCAGCTTACAGAAAACAGCTTTGTTCTCTACAGTGCATTTAATTTTCTGGCCAATTACCTTATCAAAACAGATAGCAATTTAGTAATCTTAAATAGATTCTTTCTCCTCTTCCCTGTCCAACTCAGCTTTTTCATTCCCGTGCACTCCCAGTGTGATTTGGAAGATAATCACAGGCATTTCAAATCTTATTGCTTTTCAGACCAAGTAAGTTTTACATTTTCTCTAATATGGATGAAAGCACTTTGCAAATACTAATTTATCACTATTCCCTCAGAACTGCAAGCAAGCTCATTTGCTCACAAAATCAATCATCAGCTATCAAACAAGTCACCTTTTTTGAAGAACTACACTCTTGCTCAAATAAAAGAGGCTTTATTCAACATTGTTAAGTAGACATTCACATACAAAATATTCGGAAAAAATATGGCATTGGAAGAAGCAGTAAGCTTCAAGCCAAAATTTGCAGTAATGGAAACAAATGGTCTCATATTAACAACCGGAGGCCGTGTGCTGTAACAATTTCCTGTAAGTGCAGCCTTACTGGAGAGTCCCCGCCAACCACGGACATTGACCATCTGTGGCTTTGACCTTGTGCAGTACATAGCAAAGGAGGCAGCAATAAATGTGGAATAAAAGCATCAGTCCCTGAATTCATATTATTCCCAAATAATCACCTATATTCTAAAAAAAAAGTAAGTAGGGATGGAATCAAGCCAGGAAGAATCCATTTACAAGTTCTCTCTAGCTCCTCTGCTTCCCTTTGTCCATTCCCACCTCCCACGTAGCAAACTCCACGTGCATTTGTAGGTGGTGCAATTTCATATGATTCCCAAGATTGTGTAAACTGAAAATATCACTCTAACCTCAGCTGCTACAGATGTAAGCAGAGTATTTTTTAACATAGTTTTTTTTTAAATGAAACATTAAAACAGCTGTAATGGACTCCCTCAAAGAAACTTAATGCAGCCAGATTTGAATTCTAACATTCTTATTTTGCAAAAGTTGTAAGTGAAATCACAAAGGGAAGTAAAGACACCTGTGTTCCAAGGCTCAAGTCTGCCACTGACTTGGAAAGATCACTTAACCTCCTGGGGCTCAACTCTTCCTGAGTCAGAGGAGCTCTGAGTTCGTCTCTGAAGCCCTTAAAATGTGGAGATACCTTTGCATGCCAAGGGCTGGGACCATCTCTGGTGGGAGTTACATAGGTGGATAAAGACAAGACCAGAGTAGTATTATCTCTCTCACACAGATGGCTAGGGCTGCCGTTTAGCTGGCTCGGCCTTGACAACATACTGTACCCACTTGGATTCCAGTCAGACCCGCTAGCTTTGTTCTTCTGATGCTTAGCGGTCACTGAATTGATTCTCCGGTCCTCACTATGCTTCAAATTGTCTAGAAAGGCAGGAAGTGGCTCTGCATAGATTCTGGGCCAACACTGTGATAAAGTGAACACATAATTCTATGACTAGAAGTACCGAGAAGCCAGCTGTGCCACCCATCACTGTGTCCCACCACACGCTGCAGAGATCCATGCTGAGGAATTCAGTTTTCAGGCCAATGACTCTGCAGTCTTTGCTCACGTCCTAAAGAACGCCAGCTAGGTCTTATACTTCACAAAGACAGCAATAGCCATTGCACTGATATTTAATGACAACAATTTACACATATTACTTTAATTATTCTCACAATGGGATAGATATACTATTCCCATTTTACAGAGGGAGAAACTGAGGAAGAAAACTGACAGCACATGACGGAGAGATGGGAGGGGATCTAAACTAACTTCTAACTACTATCCCACTTTACAATTTGGTAGAGGATTCCTATAACCAAGTCTGGTTAGACAGAACTCCAGGCAGGGATGGCAACACGCTTGCCTGCACTCGTGTACACACACACAC